TTTAAGAATTAAAGTCAAAGATTAGTTATGCAAAGTGCTACATTCGGTTATAGATGTTCTATGTTAAGAAATTTCTTAAATGTTAGGTAGTTTATAAAATTTCATTTTTCAAATCTAAAGGGCAAGTTTAGACCTGAGAGCATTTGTAGTTACAAAGTCAGTGATAAACTCTGAATCCAGCATCTCATCCTTTTGTAATAGAGAAGAACAAGTCGGACTCCATATTATATCTTCCTTTTACTTTAACCTATGTGCTCTGTTGCCTGTGCTTGGTCATGTTGGCTCTGCACATTTTGTAAAAGAATGTTGCCTATAGCCTGAAATATACAGGATAGCCTGTATTCTCAAGGCTTTGACCTTTAAAAGTATAACACTTCTCCATTTATATAGAGATAAAAAGTTGCAGAAGAGAGGATAACATTTGTCTTGTTAGCTGTTTATAGGAACATCATGACCTGACCCGCATGGACAGAGGCAGGAACAAAGGATTCCAACACCAAGAAGTTTGCAACAACTAACCATGCCCCTCCCGCACCTTGTCTTCAGAAATGCTTTGCTGAAACCCTTCAGGGAGTTGTGGGTTTTTGGGCACCAGCCACCCATCTCCTTGCATGACCCTGCAATAAACAGTTATCTACTCCAAAACTTCAGTTTGTTTGGCCTCACTGTGCATCAGGCACACAAACTTGCATTTGGTAACACTTTTAACACAAACAATAATACAGTAAAGTGAATATACATCATTTTTCAGTCATAATCAAAGGATGGCAAATGTACTGCATTACTAGTAATTCTGAAACAGAGGTTTCATAGGAAGTAGCAGCTTATTTTCCCAGCAATGTGATCTACGTATGATAAATTCAGTCACACATCTTAGGCACACACACCTATCTTCCTAAAACACCACCCATACTTGTACTAAACTTACAGCACATATTAGTGGCTGATGGTCTGATGAAACTTTCAGCAGTAGCTAGCAGGAGCTGCACCTGTGAGAACTTGTACAGCAAAACAAGGCTCAGGGAACCGAACTTAACTACTAATAAATGGTTGTTACCCTGGACGAAGCAACTTAGACTTGCTTAGAAGGCCTGTGAAGGGAGAGGAAAGGATTGGATGGCAGGATATTTAATGCTCCTGCCAATAGACAATCTCTATGATTCTGCGAATATGAATTGTTTTTTGTTTTAGGTAAAAATATGATTTTTTTTCTGAACTTAAATTTGCTAAACCATTGTTTATGAATACTTTCATCCTTTCAAAAAGTGATAATAGTCATATGTAGGTTTAGGTAGTCCATAGATCTATCATTAAAAATATTTTTATTCAGCTGAAGTAGTAAGTTATTTTCAATGTGCACAAAATCTATTAATATCCCCCAACCTATAAATGTGCCCATGGGCACCTGTGAGGCTGTGGGTATACATAAACACCAAATCCATTTCCTCCACCACTTTGTGTGAAGACCATTTTATGTCTATCACTTTCTTTTTCATTCTTTCTTCCATGTTGCCACTCACCATAGACACACTTTAAAAGGGAAAGTGACAGCCGGGATCTATTGAAGGTACGGAGGGACTCAAATATTTTTGTACATGGATTGCAAAACAGTAGATTAAGTAACCCAATACACATGCTTTTACTTAACATATGTCCATTTCATCTCCTTTGTTTAAAGAATGGCTTGATAATCCAACTGCATAGTCAGACTTAATACTAGATGGAAAGTGCTTCAATCATATTTGTCTTCTTTCGAGGCAAAGACCATGAGAATCATATTTTATTTTTAAAAATCCATTGAAAGCTATTATCTATCAAATGTTCTACATGAAAGAAATTGAAAAAAATCCAGAAGTAGTGTTTATTTAGACAAACAGAATATAAATTCCCCAATATGTTTTTCTACATTACTAAATAATACTGGGGAGGTAGTGGGGGGAAGGGTTCACTTCATAAGGAAGTAAACAGAAATTCCTAAATTCTAGTCCCAATAATGAGTGTTAATTATATGCTATTTTCCTTTTTTTATTTGAAAATAAAACTTGAGGAATTATTATTATTTTTGAACTTTTATTTCATAGAAGGATGTTATTTGCAACTGGAATCTGTATATATACAATTAGTGCTCTAGAAACCCAACTGTCTGGGGAAAATCATGTTTAACTAGTTATGAGTATTAGTAAACATTCAACAAATAACTTAGTGATTGTTAAATTATTGTTCTCTGGCAAAGGTTTAAATATCTATATTGATAGGTATTTTAACTTGTAGTAGTAGTCGGTAAATATCCATTACTTTCTGTTTCACTTTTTGTATGATAATTTAAATACCACCATAAATAATATTAACAGATCACGGCATTCCCTATATATACAGTAGAGATAAAGTAATATACACACCACTACAGAATGTATACATTTGCACATTTTTTAATATTTTAAGGGAGAAACAATATAATTTCATAGTTCAAATTTCATTCAATTTTTCTTAAAATATTTTCCTAATTTAATTCAAAAATGTTATTTTATTAACAAATAAGCAGGAAAAATTTACAAATCAGTCAGGGACAGTGGATGAGGCATCACTGAAGTTTGGTAAAAATATTTTAAAGTTTTCCCTTTAGAAAAGAGAGCGTGGTGCAGTGGATTTCACTATCTATAAATTTGTAAAATTTCAGGTACCAAAGTGATGCATTCTTTTGGAACATAAGGTGATCACTTGTTAAAGTTGCAGTGATTTAATGATGTTTACACTCAGCTATGCATCTAATGGAGCCTGTAATTTTTGTGTTGAATCCTTCCCCAAACTGCACATTCCTTTGGGAAAACAACTACATATATGTAGTTTTTCATTTACCAAGGTAGGTCCTTTACATATTGCTAGAGTGACATCCTAAACTTTTTTCATCCTTTATTTAAAGAAACTTGAATATAGATACAATATTATGGTAGATGGACTTTAAAGGGGTCCCCATGATCTCAGCCTGCTGGTTCAGGTCCTTATATAATCCCTCCCCTTGAGTATGGGTGAGACCTGTGACTTGCTTTTAACCAACAGAATATGGCACATGGTATGCGATGTCATTCCCATGATCACATTACATTATACAAGACTTCCTCTTGCTAGAAGACTTGCTCTAGAGTCCTCTGCGAGCTTTGAAGAAGCAAGCTTCCATCAATCCTCCAGCAGTAAGGAATGGAATGCTATCAGTAATCATGGGAGCGAGGAGGCAAATCCCTCCCTAGCTGAGTTTCCAAGTGAAAACACAGCCCTGGCAGACACTAGATTGCAGCCTTGCAGAAGTCTCAGTGAACCCATGCCCAGATCCTGACCCACAGAAACTGTGAGATAATAAATGTGTGTAGTGTTAAGTCAGTAAATTTGTGGTAGTTTGTTACACTGTGTAGAAAATTAATACAAAACCATAAGAAAAATTTTTTGAGAAAAGACAATATAAAGGATCTCTTTTCCCATTCTTTAAAAAGAACACAGAAAAGTAGGCATACACTCAAATGTAATAGCAAGGCAAAATGGATATAAATCCAGATAGTCTTATTGTGGTCAGAGTAAGTACCTGGCAGGCACATGGCAGGTGGGATATAGAGAAGGCAGTGCATTTTTATTATAACTGGCTTTTCAGCACAAATGGTGACTCCATGCAATTATCTAATGACCACTGCCACAAAAGTAGTTATTGGATCAATCCCCAGAGTTAATATGAATTTTTTGCTCTCGTAGTATTCAAATATACCCTACTTAAAATGAACTAGTTGATTTTGGGTGCTCTATTGGAAACGTATCTCAAGATTCTAGAATCTTGACTAGAATGACAAATTTAGTTCAAATCATATAACCTGTATCTTCCCTTAACATAAGCATCCTTCCTCTGATATTCCAAGTAGTAACAAGGTGAGAAGATAACTCAGGGAATGTTTTGCCTAGATTGGCTCAAAATTTAGAAAGGAAAATGAAAATATTTGGTTCAATTATGACTTCTTCCCTAATAAATGACCAGACCATCACAGGAAATCAAAGGGTTGCTGACATAACCTTCAGAAACAAAAATCACAGGACTACAAAGAAAAGTGAAGCGACTTAATCATCTCATATATAAAGGAAATAAATTTAGGATTATATTTCATTCAGATGTGGATGGAGGATACATTTCCAATGTTAAACATGGAGTTTATATATGGGCACAAGTTTAGTTAGAAAATATACATTTTTTTGTGAGCTCATTAGGTGATCGTTATTACAATTTACAAAGAGTATAATGACAAATTACAAAGAAAGATAAGCAAATTATCACAGATTGAAATCCTTTACACATTTTTCTACCTATGAATTCTCTGTTCTGTATCTGAACTTACTAGCAGAATTTCATAGCTGACATTCAACACTCATTTCGTCACTAAAATGTATCAAAACTGATTTAAAAGAGACAAATAGTAAAAACAATCAGCCAAAAAAATGTTTTTCAGGTTTCTAATGCAGTTTTGGCCACTGGGCTCTGGTTCACAGGAATATGGGAATGCAGCTGAAGGCCATCCGAGAAGCACTTCCCGGTTTATAAATGTCAGCAGGTGATTGATAAAGGAAGCATAATGGAGGTTTCCACGAGACACAAAACATTAGAGTCCAACTTTGACTTTCATAAACTTCCGTGTTGAATTTTTAAGAGTAGGGCCACAGCTCAAATTCTTATTCTCACTTAAAACCCAAAATAATTATGCAAAATACATTTCAATTTTAGAGATCAAGTCAGAACAGTCAGAAACTGCCGGACAGTAATAAATGAGCACACCTAAGTCACTGTTACATAAGTAGATCAAGAAGTAGCACTGAGCAGAGCCTCCAGGGACCATGCGTGAGCAAGTTGATGGCGCTGCACACCCACCGTCTGTCCCAGGAGGCCAAGAGGGGGGGCTTCATCCACTGTGAGCCTCTGGCTTAGCAAGACAGTCACATCATCATAGTAATAAGTAAACGACCACTGCTGATCAGAAGAAATACTCTTTCTGGCTTTCACTGACTGTACTTTGCATGTTGAGCTCACTTTTCAGAGCAGTCTCAGCATTGTCTCCAGTTTTTGGAATATTCGACTCATTTTTTTCATATAGCCATCTCTGTTGATAAATGCGTACAGCAATGGCAGTGATGCAGAGCAAGATAAATATCACAACTGCTATCACACCTACAGAGAAAGGAAAACACAAAGTCAAATTATAAACTGTAAATGTCAGCCTAACTAGAATCTACCCTAGCATCATTTATCATCAGAAAATTTGACACCAAGTGGTGTTATAACATTAAGTGTACTTCTAAGTCCATGCAGACTTTAGACACAGAGGTTTTATGCCTTAATTTCCTAAAGACATATCATGATTGGATTTCAGTGAATGTTTTCACTCTAAAATGCAGAAACACAATGAGGTCTCTTAGGTTATGCCTACACTTCATGCTAATTGAGCAAGCAGGTTTTCATTATTTTAAAAGTGTAGAGTGTGTAGCCCCACCACAGAGTGATTAAATGCTTACGTGTATTTTAATGAAAATTCAATTAAATTTTAATGCTGATATACTGTTGAACTACAGTAATGTGGTGTGTATCCCATCTATCTCTATGAGACCAACAGAGTCTTAAGTGATTGCTGCCTCTGGGGGGTCCACACCTTTGTGTGATCCCCCGTGACCTGCTTCTAACCGAAACAATATGACAAAGGTGATGGGCTGTACCTGATTATTTGTAAATGATTACATGATTATGTTATATAAGCTTGTAGCATCTGTCTTGCTAGAGTCTCTTTCTTCCTGCTGGCTATGAGGTGGCAAGAGCCATGCTGGGAAACCCCACATGACAAGGAACTGCAGATGGCTTCCAAGTGCTAAGGAAAGACTCTGTCCAGGAGCCAGCAAAAATTCAGAAGCTCTCAGTCTTACCTCTGCAAGACACTGAATGTAGCCAACAACCATGCAACTGAGGAAGTGGCTCCTTCCTCAGTGGAACCTTTAGATGAGACCCCAGCCCAAGACCCCTGATGAGGCACCTTGATTTCAGCATTGTGAGACCCTAAGCAGAGGACCTAGCTGAGATGTGCCCAAACTCCTGACTCACAGAAACTGAAGGATAATACATGTGGATTGTGTTAAGCTGCTACATAGGTGGTAATCTGTCATGCAGCAACAGATAACTAATATACCATTTTATAAAAAATTGTAGACATATTAATAACATTCAGTTATCTGTAATTAAAAGGAAAACATTTCTCTTGCTGGAAATGTATTGAAGACATTAGGTTTGCCAGCAGTTCTCAACCTTGGCTGCATAGCAGACAATAACTCAGAATCTTTTGGTGGGAGGCCTAGGTATCAGCATTATTTTAAAAGCTCTTCAGATTATTTTAATGCACCATCAGGGTTGAGACTGTCAAGCTAAGCCATAGGAATGTTTACTCAAGCTATATCACATTAGTGAAGAAGGAATCCATTCTGAAACAAATAGATAAAAAGAAGCATTCACTAGTTAATATAGTTTTAAGATGACTGACACAGGCATTAAGCATGAATTAATATCTCCATTTAACAAATGTAAGCAAACATATGTTACTGCTTAGTTGTATAAATCAAAATTTGTATTGCAAAATGAGGGTTCTTCATTATACTCTGGGACAGACATAAGCAAGTGTAATGGAGCCCAACAAACTCAAAGCTTGGTTGGGTATAACTGGTCACAGAGATTCCTGGGCACATGCTATCAGGAACCCAGACCCCTTCTTACCTGAGAGGAGGTAGCATATTTATTATTTTGTGAATATTCTTAAGTATTCATAAGTAGAATATTCATTACTTTCAATATATTTTGCATCTCACTTGGGAACAAACAACACAGTTACTTTAGTTATTTTTATGTCTAGCTACAGGACCTTGCTTTAAGAGCTATATCATATCCAATTTTAGTGTCAGGGACCAGTAACTCTCAATAACATTGATCAAGCCTCTTGATTATATGATGACTCTCACTATTACACTGACCCACCTACACATCCAGGGTTTTCTGTATGTGATTGATCACGTCTAACTCTAGCTTGTTTTTGTTTCATGAGGTTTGGTGGGATCCTAGAAAAACTTCTATCTCTACCCCCTATCTGATGAGATTGAGAAAATTTGAATAATGCATCTGATGCCTTCCATAATCTTCCTATCAGCAACTCCAGTGTAAGGGTGTTTTTGACAAACGCTCATGTCTGCCTGTGTCTCTGTCTATCTACACATCTGTCTCTTTCTCTATGCATCCACCTGCCCATCTACAATATGGATCCCTTGGCAAGAAACCCTCTGTGATCTCTGGCTTACCAAGTTTGAATATTGCTTAGGTTGATTCTCCTCTCCTATAACACTCCCTTTGTTTACAAGAGGAGAAAATAATGATGCAAAATGCAGAACATGGAGAAATCCACCTATTGGGATAATCCTTTAAACAGATCAAATATTTCACATGTGGGTGCAGTCTGTGATCAATTAGAAAAAAGTCTGATAATTCTTTTTGGAAGTTCCAAATACACTGGAAGTCTGTATACTCAGTGACTGACAAAGCACCCAGCAACCGGCCACCACACAGATGGAAGGCAGGTTCAAGTGAATTGTAGGGCCTAGTAAACTGAACCATTCTGTCCCTAAGACCTTCTGTGCTCTCATTCTCCATCCCATGTATCAGGAACCAAGTAGGATTTCTCAGGGGAATGATATTCAGCAAGAGCAATAAAACTCTAAGGACCACATATTTGTTCTATCATCAATTTGACTATTATCTCTGGTCTTGCTAATAAAAGGGAACAAACTATGATAATTTGTGAAATTTTGAACTTGGATTCCTACTTTGTAAATGTTAATCACATTTAAGTTGATTTATTTTCACTTAGCTTTGGCATTATAGTGAAGTCTTCTCATTAAAAATAAATTAGAATGATTTAGGATTAAGGTTTAATTTAAATTTTAAAACAAAAGTTATTCCTTTGAGATATGCATTCTAAATAACATTTATGGTTTTTATTTGTTCTTGGAGTTATAAAATGGAGGTCATATTCCTCACTCATTACAAAAATAAAAGGAGTTGAGACAGAAATGGAAATGTTAAAATTCTTACATAGATATGGTCAGCACTTTAAAATGTCTGAATACTTTCCTAATCGTCTGGAGAAAACTGGTGTCTGGATGGATACAGACGAAATGAACAGATCCAATCTGAGCAGGTGTGTAGCCGGCCTGAACAGTGGGCGCCCAGTCCTATCACCCAGCTCTAGCAGTAATTACCTCACTTTGAGGTAGCAAGGAATGGAGAGCAGTTTAGTTCTACTCACCAAGCAGAGTTTGCAAATTACTCACATTCCAATAATCTAATTAAACAAATTAAAACGTTCCTTGAATGATAAGGAGGGAGAATTGAATATTAATTTTTTTGAGTCAGACCTGGATAAATTTTGCTTCAAAGGATATATTAGAAGATATTTAAGATGTGATTACTTTTACTTCTTCAAATATATATATATATATATATATATATATATATATGCATATAGATGAATGGATTTATTTGATGGATATCGCTTTCTATCTATCTATCTATCTATCTCTCCATCCTAAGATAAGCTTGATGCCAGACACAGTTTTATATCTTTATGTTCAGGAAAATGACAATTTGCATAGTTTAGGTGCTTCTCCCAGTATGTTTTATTTTTAATCTTATTTTTAAATGTTTTGGGCTAAGGGACTGAGAGGTCCATGGCTATTTTAAATCAAAGAAGTAAAAGTAAATGCATCTTAAATATGTATATCTCCTGAGAGATACTAATGGCTATATTCAAATGAAAATCCTCTTATTATTCTGTAGTTTGGCAACCATCCTTTAAAAAGTGTTTCAGTGGAGCCATCGATTCCTTCTAAGTATCTCCAAAGGGGCTGAATTCGGTACAATCACGTCAAGAACATGAGCAATTGTATGTGGCCTGCCACTGCCAGTGATCTCACAATCAGCACGGATTCTCACGGATATGTTTTGGACTTTGCTAACAGTGACAACAACGCCAAGGACGAGGTCATTCGCGGCCTCGTTACCTCCAATGACCGCGGAGTCACTTCTGTTCGCATTAACTAAGGGCTCTCCCTCATCTGTTGATCCAGAACGACCTACAGTAGAAAAAGAATGACAGAGGAGAGTGGAAAGGAGAACTTTTGAGAAATCCACAACATTTGAAAGAAGAGCAGACAACGCAGAGACAGAAATGAATTTGAAACGAAGAACCGAGAATGGAAAGACTAGGGAATGGGGAAGGTGTACGAAAAGAGGACTTTTGGAAACCTCTGGGATGAAGACTGGGTGGAAGACCGCGGTCAAAGGGCCACGCACCTGCGCCGCCTGAGAGCGGTCGGGTCGCCTCCGGCGCTGGAGCTCCGGGCCCCGCCCCCTCCGCGCAGCGGGACGCGGCGGCCACGTGTCCGCGGACAGTGACCCGGGCGGGCCCGCCCGGGCGCAGCGCCGCCTTCAGCGGGACGGCGGGACCGAAGCGCACTGCCGAGAGGCAGCCGGTGAAGCCTAGCGCGCCAGCCCGCTGCGTGTCGCGGTCCGCGCCGGGAGGTCCTGCGGGCAAAGAAGTGGGACACACCGTTAGGGCTCAGGAGCGACTGGCGGGGACGCAGGAATAGCCTGAGTCTGCGCAGCAGTGATGAACTGAACTTCCCTCCGAGCCCTTCGTGTTTAGGAAAGAGCCAGAGTCGGTACCTGCCGCCTTGGTTGATGCCCTGCGGGTGCTCACTCCCCGTGTGAGTCAAGCGAAGCTTCTTTGGATGCAGTCACGGGGCACTGACGAATGAAATCCTCCGCCAATGCATTTTTCAAAATATTTTTAACAGCATTTGTGGCCAGTAATTTAGGTCTCCTGGGTTGGGGGACAGCAGCGTTCTGGGAATCCCTTCTTGCAGTTTCCTCACAATTAACACTTTATTCTGGCTGACTGTTCCGAGCCCCACAGAGAGGGCCTCTCCGTAACTGCAAGTGCTGCCCTGGAAACTCCGCACCACACTTCCTTTCCCCCTCTTCACAAAGGTGGTCTCTGTCCTGGGTCCATAAATCAAGGCTTTTGCCCCCATCAACCCCCTCCTGATCCCCTCCCTCATCCCCAACTGACAGAAGTTGGTTATTAAGACCGAAGAAGAGCAGCGACGGACACAGGAGAGAACATCAATTCGTTCACTTCAGTTATGATTACATCCCGCAGTGCGCTTGCTCAGTGGGCACGAAATCTGACCAAAGGCCCTTAGCTGTAGACTTCAAGTTTAAATGTATCAGTCTGGGAAGCGTCCATGTCCCCCACAGAGGAAACCACATAAGTATGAGGCAACTTTGGCATGTGCTGTCAAACTTCCTCTCACTTCACCTTGTGTAGAAAGGCGCGTTGCCTCTTCTTTTTCAAACAATCATCAACAGCTACCAAGAATTTACCAAATGATTCCCATAGGCTGGGCATTGTGCTAAGCGATTTATAGACTCGCGAATAGTGGCATTTGAACTCTGAAGCCAAGGGTGTGTAACCACACTTCCAGCTAGCCTCGCCTGGTGCATCAGTTACAGAAGGTCACTCTCCTTGGATCATCCCTCTCTCATGCAACATGTGGAAAGCCCGTAGTGGGCAGTGTGTTTTATTCTTGCCTCCCCCTGCACTTAGCTTAATGTCTGTTACATAGGATGCATGCAATATATATTTTATAATCAAAGAATAAATTTAGTCCCATTACCACCCTTCTGTGGACAGTTTGGGTACTGAAATTTTTAAAAATGTGTCACTCTCAAGGTGTGACCTGAGAAATTCAGAGGACTGACCTTGTGATAAAAGATTACTTGCATTGGCTCCGGATAAAAACGTACGTCCATAGTTGGCTGCCATCTTATGCCACTGAGTTTTACTGAATGTCGTGGTAACAAAACACATCCTCATTGTCGCTAAAGTTAAACCCTGAAGCTTCTATTTGAAGGATAGCAGAATATGCCACCCCCAAATATGCCATTTTGGCATAAGGATTATTTTCTTGAAAAACAGCAGATACAAGGACACTGACATCCGCTTTCTGTTCCTGAAAGCAGGAGATAAAACTCTTATGGGAAAGCTGCCCTTTTTGTACCAGGAGGAAAAATACATTTTTATGACCAGAGATGAGGAGACCAGCCCAGAGAAATCTGTACATACAAACCTTGTTAAAATAACCCCTATCTTCCTTTCATCTCCTCGTACATTTTAGTTGCTTTTTCACAATCACCACTCTCTGTTCAACCTCATATATAAACACTTGGACCTATCTGCTTTTTGGGTCTTCATTTTCCTGTAGGGACTCCCATGTACATTTAAAAATCTGTATGCTTTTCCCCTGTTAATCTGTCTTATGTCAATTTAATTCTCAGGTCCAGCCATAGGCCCTAAGAGAGGAGAGGTCAAGTGTTGCCTCCCATACAAACTCACGGGGTGGATTTCCTGAATCTTATTACAGGTCTCACCATTTTTCCTATTAAACTTCATCTCACTATTTCAGTCTATAATTCCTGGAAACCAAATATTCTGTATCCTTATTTCTTCTGGCTTGGAAAAGAGCTGTACCTTCAAGAAAAATGGCCTAACTTTGAGATTTTCAGCAAATGTATTGGGAGTTACTTGGGCTTACAAAATTCTGTTCATGATTTTAAAGTTGCAAAAGTAAATGTTTGCTATGGAAAAGACCTCTAAAAACAACTAAAATTGGGGGCATGCATTTGCATTGTTATAATCATAATAGACATCTGTCTGACACATATAGCTACCTTGGCCAAGTTGATTATACGAGACATCAAAGATCTTTATGCATGTGGAATTTCAGGTAGCTCCTTAAGTACACTGAAGTAAAATGAGCTAGGCACAACCCAACTAAAGGATTATCAATTAAAAGGGTAGTTTAAAGATGACTTTACTTTTTAAATTTTGCATTCAGATATTATCTATTTCTTAAAGAAAGGCACCCTTGCTTATGTATACTTGAGAGAATGTCAAGAAGAAATAAAATGGGAGACACTGCAATAGTAACACAGGACTTTTGCAAGGCTAACATCTGAAAAAAAAAATTACAGGTAAAATAAAAGTTTTAGTTGTTGGACAAATACTAGCTTTCCTGTTCCTGGTCAAAGTCTGACCTGAGCACTACTAGGCAAGGGTAACAGAAGGAATCTCAGGCAGACATTTATCATAATGAATTAGGCCAATTTTGTGGAATTTATTTTTTAAAGATAACCTAACTTCATGTCTTTAGATAGTGTTGTTACTAAGGAAAGAAACATCAGTAGCATATCATATTGCATTATATTTTCCTGTATTTCAAGACTGTACTTAATATTTATACATATATGTGGATTTGTGAGTGTGAATGGGTGGATTTATATGTACCTGGAGAGCCTATCATTAATCATGTAGCTGTAACTGTGTTATGCATGTACATGTGGGTATAAATATACATTGAAAGGTTTGGTGCTCAGTTTCCTGTCAATTTTCCATCCTGAGGTCATGGTTTTGATTCATTTTTTGATTGGAGTAATTCTCTAGTATTTTCTTAAGATGGGAATCTTGATTAGTATTTAATCTCAATCTTTCCTTGTCATCCAAAATATCTTTTTTTAACCTGGTCAGATAAATTATATATTAGATGTATGAGTTGCAACCATTCTTCTTAGCAGTATATCATTCTCTCATTTTTATTCTATTGCTGCAAATGAGAAGTTGGATGCTGATGTCAATATCATTATTTTCCATTGTAGTAACTTCTGTCTAGAAAGTCTGGAAGATTTTTCTCTATGGTTTTGTAATTCACGGATTTTCCCAGAATTTCCCCAGATGTGTGTCTTTTCTCATCAGAATCAGTGAGTCCTTTCAATCTGCAACTCAGGTTTTCCTTTAGCTCAGAGAAATTTTTTTAATACATAAGTATTATCTTTGCTTCTAATTCTCTTTCTGGATCTCTATTTATTCATATTAGGTTTTCTAGATCTAACTTCCAAATGTTTTATTTTTCCCTCCTAATTTCTACATCTTAATCTTTTTGCTCTGTGGCTTGAGACATTTCATCTACATGATACTCCATGCCGCTATTTAAGGATAACCAGTGATGATTCTCTCCTTTAGATCACCCAGTGAAATTTTGAAAAATCATATTTATTTTAATTACTAGAGTTGGTGCTTGTGTCTGTGTGTGTGACTTTATTAAAATCTCTTTGAGTGCCAAGTTTCATCCTAGTTGTCTTCCATCTTCTTCAATAGCTCTATTTTGATGCAGGAAATTTTATTTGTTGTTTTTTCTTCTTTCTCTACGCCTACTCTTGCTTTTAGATTCCCTTAGTGGTGGCATCATTATTTACTTATTTATTTATTGGGACTGCTTATTGGGACTCCATGGTTAAGGATGTTATACGATACACAGGTCCTGACACTGTGGACAGTGCAGCTTCTCTGCCCTATAGTCAGCAGCAGACCTGCATTCAGACTATCTGACTTCTTATAAAGCATAGGAAGAGGTCTCTCACCCTCACCCTCACCACGGTAGGAAGGATGTGGCCCGATAATCCATCCCTTTCTCAGCTCCAGGAGGAGCAGAGAGGATGGGGACCGTAATGTGGAGCAATGTTGACCTTCCCTTTGGAAGTCTTGAGTTCCCTGCAAGACAAATTTCCCCAGGATCCACGGTCTTCACATACCACCCTAAGACTCTGCTGTGTACTCCTCCTCCAGTCCAGAGGGCAAACTCCTACCCCAGCTCTCTCATTCACACTTTCCTGCCTCCTCTTGCCTGCTGGGCTGGCCCTATAGTTCCTAGGTTCAGGGGCACAAGCAAGTTGAACCGGGAGTAGAGGCAAGTCTTATGGTCCAAGTGGCGTTTCCCAGAAACAGGTCCACACAAAGTCAGCATCCGAATTAAAAGAACTGTCCTTTTTTTTATTGAGCTGCATGAGCTGCTTGTAAATTTTGGAAACGAATCCTTTGTCAGTTGCTTCATTTGCAAATATTTTCTCCCATTCTGAGGGTTGTCTCTTGGTCTTGTTTATGGTTTCCTTTGCTGTGCAAAAGCTTTGAAGTTTCATTAGGTCCTATTTGTTTATTTTTGTTTTTATTTCCATTTCTCAAGGAGGTGGGTCAAAAAGGATCTTGCTGTGATTTATGTCATAGAGTGTTCTGCCTATGTTTTCCTCTAAGAGTTTGATAGTTTCTGGCCTTACATTTAGGTCTTTAATCCATTTTGAGCTTATTTTTGTGTATGGTGTTAGGGAGTGATCTAATCTCATACTTTTACATGTACCTGTGCAGGTTTCCCAGCACCACTTATTAAAGAGGCTGTCCTTTCTCCACTGTACATTCCTGCCTCCTTTATCAAAGATAAGGTGACCATATGTGCATAAAGACACAGACCTACTGGAGAACAGACTTGAGGATATGGGGAGGGGGAAGGGTGAGCTGTGACAAAGCGAGAGAGAGGCATGGACATATATACACTACCAGACGTAAGGTAGATAGCTAGTGGGAAGCAGCCGCATAGCACAGGGAGACCAGCTTGGTGCTTTGTGACCGCCTGGAG